TTGAGAATCAAAGGATTATGCATTGAACAAGTATTTCCAAATCCAAAAAAAGCCAAAATTGGAAACACTTTTGGTTCCAAGTATTTTAAATAAGGGAATCTGTTTTGCCTAAACTGGCGAAGGATTAGATTTCCTGTAGTATGAGCTCTTCAAGTTGTGTTGTACTTAACATGTGGGTGGAAGTTCTATTCTATACTATTCTATTTTTTTGTTGTGTTTTTAGATAGAAAATTTAAAAACAGAAAGCAAAGGAGGTCATTTCAGGAATGCCATAGTTTCTTAGAATGAGCTAGTCCTGATTTTGGTCATAGGAATAAAGAAAGCATTCTAATAAATGTTTTCAGTGGTCTACTGATTCTTATGATTACCCTTCATAGATATAGCTAGAACTCTACTGTCAAGTCCCATACCCCATGATTGATCTTAAGATAATATAAAAGAGACTAGGAAAGAACAATGGTAAAAATCAAAGAAATACATGAAGAAAGTGAGAGCCATGACCAAGATGAAATATTTTGGGACATCTTAATAAGATTATATATGAGAATAAAACCAAGCTGAGAAATTTGCCTGCTCAGTCTGTTTGGTTTTCTTATATTCTTGAAAATGAGAAAGGACAGCAACATGAAGCAGATCCAGATAAATCTTTCTTCCATGTCTGACCTTTACAATCTTTGTTTTAGTTCCTTAATTTATTCTTTACTGAGTACACCACAGCTGGAAAACATCTAAAATGCAAGTCTGAGTACATTTCCATTTCCTAGTCAACCATGCCATTTCATTTTTTGTGAACTGAAACCAAGCTGACAGAATGTAGACTTGTAATGTGAAAGAACTCAAAACTTCTCTAGCAAATATATGTGACAATATATTTATCAAACATAAAGAACAAATAGGGCAGCTATTTGACTATCATTAGTATTACATTTAATATAGTCAATCCAAGTGTTACTTTGGTTCAGCTAAGAAGAAAATGAAATAAATAGAAGTGTGAAGCTGTTGTAGCCTAGTCTATGACTCTTGAATCTTTTATTATTGTAATAAAGGTAAAGGATGTGAAAGAAATAAGAAAACCCACACCACTGAGCTCCATCTGTTCTCACCCTATGGGTTATGCAAAGAACAAAATTTGGATGAATCAAAGGCTATCTAGGATTAGGCATGAGGAACTGAAGATGATGAGAGTAGAAAACACAACTTCCAAAGCAGAAAAAAAATCTCAGTATCACTTCTACTGCTTTCTTAATGTGGGAATGCCAAGAGACCACTCATCAAAGTGATCTTGATTTGTTTTTAAATAACACAAATCCCCCTTTATTTGTTTAAACAAATGCCTTCAATAGACCTTTATCTCCCCTTCCCTGCCCTCAAAGGTATTAACCTAAAATGTCATTCTTACTACTATTTTTACTAATGGGAAGGTATGACAAATAATAATAGTACAAACCCATTAGACTCAATATCTTTTCAGGTTCTTTTTTCTATTAAAAGTCTACAACTCTAGCTGGGTGTCATGGTGTACACCTGCAATCCACCACTATGGAAGGCTCAGGGAGAAAAATTGCAAGTTCCAGCCTAGCCTAGGCAATTTAGTGACCATGTATGGCCCTTTCTCAAAAACATTAAAACAGGGCTGGGGAAAGAGCTCAGTGCAAAGGCTATGAGTTCAATCCCAATACCACAAGAGAGAAAAGAAAGTCTATGATTCTACATTAAAAAGTCCAAATGCCTACTCCCTCTTGAAGTATAGAAGTGTGCGCTGTCCCTCTTGAAGTATAGAAGTGTGCGCTGAGAATGCATTCTCTTTGCCTGTCACTGTTCTCATTTTACCAGGGGGAAGAAAACGACAGGTATTACATATGTTCCTTCCTTTCTGTCAAGGCCACTCTTACACATAAAAGAAGCTGATGACACTGTATGAATTAAAAGGAAGGCAACTTTCATCTCTGAACACCCTACCATACTGCCCAAAATTGTAATATATATCTGAATTTTGAGTTAGCAGGCAAAAATATGCTGAGGAAAAAATTAAGGGTGCGAGAGAGAAGAACTAACAGTTTTAGTTGTCCTGTATACAGGGATAAAGGTAGAAGGATAAAAACAGAAGATTATATTGGAAGAGATTTACTGGCAGCAAAATTAGAAACTCAGAGGGTAGTATGAGGACAATGAGCTTTTGGGGCACAAGAGAAGACAGATGATATGTAATCCCCCAAAATCTTGATTTCTAGAATTATGCTTAATACAAACCTTATTCTCTTTCCTATACATACAAGTCTACATGCAATTCAGATTTTAGGTCTTTAATGTTATATTTTTCCACAGCAGTGAGAGAAAAACAGAAAAGAATGACCAGAAAGATGGTATTATGGGTTAAATATTGGAACCCACTTACTATAGAGGTAAGTCACACATTATCAGATACCACATTTGGCAAAGAACAATCAAGATTTTGACTTGTTCCTTAAACATGTATATGTACTACAAAAAAAAAAAAAAAAAGTAAAAACAGCAACAGAAATCTCAAATGCCTAAGAGACAGGGAGCTACAAAATGTTTTATACTAAATATCTTAGATGCTGAAAGCAAACTTGCTAAAGATTGAAAACTGCTGTTCTAAACATTCTAATAGGACTTTGAGGTCAAGTAAATGAGTAGGTAACTCTGGGAAGTTGGTCATTATTATGCACACGAAACAAAAGCAATAGGTTTCTGTCATACAATATAAATTAAAGTCAGAAAAATAGAAAAAAAATAAATGACACCTTACTACTGGGCTTTTACTCAGGCAGATAAAATCACTCCCAATTGTATAAGATTTGACAATTCAAAAGGAAATGCTATGATTCATACTGGTGGTAGTGAGCTGACTGACAAAGAGCTAAGAAAGCATTAGGTAAAAGTGAACTGACAAAAAAGGAAGCTAAAGAGACTAGGGGATGGAAGAGAAACTAGCCTATTAAGAGAACGGAAATAGTACTAATATTATTAAACATATTACATAATTTCCCTATATCTTATACCCCTTCATGAGGTTAAGTACCATTATTATTCTTACTGCCAGATGAACAAATCATGGCATGCAAAGGTTCGCTACATCCAAACTGTGTTCTTAGAAAGTAAATCAGAACTGGGGTATATATTTCATCAATACAATGGGAAAATGCATCTTCAAAATGATACTTTTCATGACCGAGATCAAGAAAATCTTGGACAGCTTTTATGATCTCAATTCCTTTGGACTTTATATATTTCTTTGTATTATTAAAGAATTTAATAGAACTTTTAAGAACACAGCTTGTACGGCCAAAGAGTGGGTTAAAAAAAAAGGCTATTCCTGGAGAAAAAGTAACAGTAGGGAAACAGCTGTGACTTGGGCACTCATTACATCTGAAGGTGGTAGTGGCAATGTATGCAATGGAGGGAAATAAGCCAGACATGGCAGAGGTGTGTATTCCTGAAGGGACATCTGTGAAGAACAGCTTATTTGCCAAAACACATGCTACTTTTGTTTCAATGTCAGAGATTTTATTTTATTTTTTAATGGGCAAGGAGATGTCAAAGGCAAGAATTTATTAGAAAAAAAGTGAAAATAGTTTTCTATTGAAAAGAATTAAATACATTACTCAAAACCCCTTCTCATTCTAAAGTGAATGGTATCTGAAGAGAAAAAATATTAAAGCAGGTTGTGTGGTGCATGCCTGTAATCCTAGCACTCCAGAGGGTAAGAAAGGAGGATTGCCTCAAGTTTGAGGCTACACAGTGAGTCCAGGACCAGCCTGAATGACATAGACCCTGTCCCCCCAATACCAAACCAAACCAAAATAAAACAAAACAAATCAAAACAACAACAAAAAAAATAAAAACCAACCAAGCAACCAAACCAAAGGAGGGAAAAAAAAGGAAGGAAAGAAAATATTGTGTATTTTAATATCTGAAAAGCAAATTATAATATGAAATATCATTTATACATGTAGTTACTGTATTACATTCTAGCACTGGAATAATTGTCTTAGAAAAGACAAAAGTTTACATGTATAATATAAATGTGTACATTCAATATAAATATTTCAAATGTATGAAAGTCATTTTTCACTGATTTGAAAAAATTCAGGTCAAGAAGTTCCCTTAGTGAAAAGTATGCTAAATTTTCTTTTGAATGCTATATTTTATTTAACAAAACAAAGAATAAAACATTTAAAGAAAAGAAAAAAATATTTAAAGATTACCCCTAAGGTTTGAAAACAATTCTAAGTAAAATATTTATATTTGAATCCATTTTATTTCCTCATTTCTAGAAAGTCTGAATGTTCAACAGAATAACAAAATGTTATACAACAAGGATTATTGTGCCACTGAATGTACATTACATAAAAGGTATATAACAGGCAATTATGTAAAGATACACATAAATAATAGAACTTTCAATTATTAAAACTATATGGAAAGAAAATGAATTAGGGAGAGAAAAATGATAATGCAGTCAATTTATAGAGTAAATAGTACATACTCTAATTAAAATCACTTTCCATAGTAGAAAAGAAATTGTGTTAGCTCTGGAAATTGACTGATACTCTTAATATATTATGATAAATTTATTATACCACCAGAGGTTTATTTTTAACCAATACAGAAATTAAACAGTAACGTGCTGAAAAGGAAAAGGAAAACAGAAATCATGAAACATAAAAATGAGCAACTATTTTTATACATGGTGACAATAATTTAAATAGACATTCTAGTCTTTGGAATTCTTGCAAAGCATGAAAACACATTCTCTGATGGCCACGGCATTTCTCAAAGTGTATTTTAAAATTTTGTTATTTCTTAAAATGATAAATCATTACGATTAAGATAACGAGGAAGAATATTTTGGCCTAAGATAAATTTCCAAGTGTGATATATTCTAAAACTGACTGCATTACTAAGCAAATTCTTCAAATCAATTTCACTGGTCTCTTTTACAGAAGGATGCATTGTTTTGAAAATCAAAGACTTACGTCATCGAAAAAATCAATCAGTGAGGATGAGGAAGAAGAAAAGGAATCCTATTTAACGAATACAGCAATAAAAAAATAGAAAATATGGATGAAGCAATTCAATAAGAATAAATAAATCAAAATTTTATAAAACAATTGAAAGGCAAATGACATTAATTCAAATAAATAAATAAATGATAAAAGCAGTCACTAATCACTGTTTCCAAGAAACTTTACAGAGAATCATTAGTTACATTTCAAAGAGCCATCTGTTCTTTTCTCTTTCCCAAAGAAATGAAACACAATTTGTATACTAGGCCCAAAACACAGTAATAAAGTGACGCTCATGACAAATCATTAATAATAAAATTCAATGTAAGCATTTATGAAAATAATAACTAAAAGTAAGTATCAGAATCTATGCTTCTAATTCTTCTCACTGGACTATAATCTCTTTGAAGTGAAACTGTCTTGGTTACTACTATATCTCTATTGTTTAGGATAGTTCCTTGCACTTTGCTTAGTTCTTATTTGTTGGATAAAAGTATAATCACTGATTTAAATTTTCAGGGACAAAATTATACCATATAATGTCACTTTTCTTCGAGCAAAAAACTCAACTAATAAGGTATGGAATGACAAAGAGTTATACAACCGATTATTTCTTCTTTCTTTTCTTTTCTTTTCTTTTTTTTTTTTTTTTTTTTGTGGTAACCGGGATTGAACCCAGGACCCTAAGCTTGCCAGGCAAACACTTATTCTACTGAGCTATCTCCCTGGCAACAATCAATTATTTCATTACCACAGAATCCATCCAACAGACTCTATGTTATACTTCCAACAAGAACATGCCTTATTATATATTTTTTAAAAATGAATAATTTGAAACAAGAACCAGCAATATGCTACAGTGACCTTCTATACCCTCCCTGCAACCCTGCTCCACACCTATTTTTACTTTAGCTCAGTGCTGTAGAGAAAAAAGGAAAGTGTCAAAATTATTTCAAAAGTCGCGATTTCTTCTGCCTTTACTAGTTCTTGAGGGAGCTGAAATTGGTTTTAAGTCTAATAATGATTTTCATGTTTAGGCCTTTCTTAGATGCTTGTTAAATGCACATGTGACTCTACTTTCCATAAGAATGCAGAGCATTTTCGTTCCCTACTTTATTTTTCCTTATATAAGATTCCAGGCTCTCTTTATATAAGATGCAACGAACAAGTTTATTCCTAATGAATTTTATACCGCAAAATCAACTTTATATTGGCCAGAGAGGATATTTGAAAAGTTTAATACTTACTTCAAATTGATCCAGAGCATCGGTAGGCGTATTCAAAAATGCCAAGAAAGAATGCTGTGAGTCTTGGTGCTCTATACCTAGAAGACAGCAGCAACTATTTTTAAACTACAACAATTAAAATTAAGTTTTATGGACAGCCTTTCCTATCTCAAGCTATTCAAGGTGTTCACAAACTACTGTATTTTAATGCTGATCAATATTATCAACTGTATATATTTAAAAAGCCAATATATTAGCCAATGTATTATTAGTTTTCTAAACTACCACTAATCACTTACACAAATTTCCACAAAACACTTGTATACTGAGTTGTTATTAAAATTATTTTCTTCCCCTCTTGTATATAAAAAAACCACATGAAACATTTTGTAGGCTTCAGAAAACTTAAAAAAAATAATGGGTTATTTGTATCTTATTTTTCTAAGCTTAACATCATCAAACATGTTTCTGTTTTCAAATACTTCACATGATAAACATGAATACAGTCTTTCATAAGAAAATAATACAGTGATAAAATAAAGGCACTTAGTTACAAAAAAAAATCTTTGGCAGTTTTGATTCTTCTAATGAAAAAATAAAGAATGCAAACCACAGTTTTTCTCAGATTTTTTTTTTCCATTTATGTATTTGGTACAAGGTCTCACTACACAGCTTAGACTCGTAGTGATCCTCCTGTTGTTAGCCTCCTACTGGGGATTAAACCCAGGTCCTTCCACTTGCCAGGCAGGTGCTTAGACTGCCAAGCTATCTCCCTATTCCCCGTAAATGAATCCTCTAAAAATAATCTGAGGGCCGGCAAAATAGCTCAGCATACTAACGCGCCTGCTTTGGCAAGTGCAGGGACCAGGGTTAGATCCCCACTCCCCATGTCATGCTGGCCCCACCCCTGGAGCACGCTGCACCTGTGGGAGTCCAGGCATGATGACTCATTGCCTGTAATCCCAGTACTTGGGTGGCTGTAAACAGGAGGATCACTACAAGTCCTCCTACACAGTGAGACACAGTACAGACCTTGTCCTAAAATTAAAAAAAAAAAATTAAAAAATACACACACACACACACACACACACACACACACACACACAGATCTCGATAGATAGATAGATGATAACATGGAAGATAAAGCAAAAAACAACCAATCACACAATTTTGACCTCCAGGCCCTGGGGGAAGTAATGATTTGTGCGCTTTTCAGTATTGCTTTCTAATAATATAACACAGTTACCAATATGTTCAGAAATTCATACACTCAATAAACAACTGACTACTATGTATCTTCTAGCTATTGAGGATATAGTAGTAAACAAAGCACAAAAAAATCCTTGCTTTCATTTTGAAATATCATTTTGAAATATGTTATTAAAGTAGCACAGTACATTATAACATAGTGAACTTTTATTTTGCAATATTCAAAATACAAATTAAAAAACTCTAATAAGCCATCATAAAGCAATACAATAAACTGAAGTCTTTTGGTTTTTAAGTTTAAGTCTAATTTAAAATGATGCAGACAACATCATCTGATGTGTAAGTCTCACTTCACATTGGTCTTTTTCCTGTTAATTGCCAACAAGATACCATGTTTTATGTAGTCTTTTTTTCCCCCCTCATTAATTATTTGTACTTCCCTTATATTCTTCTTATATTAAAACCTAGCTTAGTTCTCACCTTAGGATGATGCTCTATGCTTCTGAGTTCCTATTCCCTCTATTTAAACTTCTTATTTTTTTTTCTTTTCTTTTTTTTTTTTTTGGCGGAACAAGGGATTGAACTCAGGCTCTTGTGCTTGCCAGGGAAGCGCTTATTCTACTGAGCCTTCTCCCCAGCCCTCCTTACTTTTCTTGCTAGGAAATTCAACCACCAAAAGTTCATTGAACATTATGTATTTTAAATAGCTTTACCTTCCTTATGTGATTACTGTCACTTCCTTATGTGATTACAATATTATAAACAGGTGCAAAACCCAGCTTTATGTTACTGTGTCGAAGGGCTGAGAAATGATAAAGAAAAGCCCTAGCCTAATATAAAGTCCAATATTAATTTTAGTTCACTTTTTCAGTGATGGCTTTTGTCAGGAAAATAAATTTTGAATAGCCACATGTAAAATTTTTCCAAAAAAAGAGAAAAATATACATGTTATGGAAAGAAAGTTTAAGATATTTGTGTAATAAAGCTATCAAATACTGAGTTAGCCTCCATGTTAAAGAAAAAAATGCAAAAGGTAAGTTTTTAAGGAAATGGTAATGAACCATGGGAAATTCCAAAAGGCAAGCAATGTAAACACCAACCTGGAAAAAGAGACTGAAGTGAACAAATAATTCTTCATTATTGAACTACATTATTAACACTGAATTTAGATTAATCTGTAGATGTTTCATACATTTTTTTAACTGATCTGAAAGTGAAGCCACCTGCGCCAAGATTTTGTACATTCTAAGTACAGAAAGTGCTAATAAATACTTGTTCAAGAATTCTTAACAAGTTCTAAATGTTAGGATGCACTGACACTGCTGGATGATTACCTCACATAAAAACTATCTGCCAGTATTAGTATAAAGTACATTATAAACTAATTTTTTCCAATTATAAAAACTGTACTCAAGAAATAGTTCTTGACAATGAAAGAATAAATTTATAGCATAGCAATTTCTGTTTCTATAAGTTCTTAAAGTAACATATATATATATACATTTTTTCTTTTTTTGCGGAACCGGGGATTGAACTCAGACCTTTGTGCTTGCCAGGGAAGCGCTTATTCCACTGAGCCATCTCCCCGGCCCCTAAAGTAACATATTTTAAACAAAACAACTCAAGAGATCAATCTAGTAAATATATATATATATATGCATCACATACACATATACTCACAAATGAGTGTCAGAATTGCATATATAAACAATTCTCTCATGTACAAAATAGGCTGCCTCTTATATACTAAAATATATTTAAAACAAAACAGTTAAGTCCTGATCGATGCAAATACACATTCCCATACCCTTTTCAGATCTAAGTTCTTCAGTGTCCTTTAGTAGTTGTTCAATTTCTGCTAGTAGTTCCAAATTCTTCTTCTCAGAATCTTTTAGTTTACTTTAATAAGGGGAAAAAAAGGGGAGAGAAAAAGCAATTTTTATTGCTGGTTAGTGAAATATTTTCTATATAGCTGAGCTTATTAGGCTTAAATATTGTCATGCTAAATCAAGGTACTACAAACTGCAGGCAGGACAAATACAGCTTACTATTATGAAGAGTATTATGAAAAAATAAGTTTTACTACAGCACAGCTAAGCTTTTTTCATTTCAGTATACACCAGAGATGTTGTATTGTAACAACTGAGTTGAGCACTTATGGAGAAGGCTCTGTGGTCCTCAAAGCTTAAAGTATCTGCTGGCACTTTATACAAATATCTGTTGATTGTCAGCTAAATCATTAAATTAGAAAGTTATAAAGGCTCATTTAGCTCTGTTCAAATTCACTAATAGATAATCCTCAGATTTACAATTTTACTTTCACTTATATCCTTTGCTTTATGAACAAAGGTATAAATGCCAATGTCCTTTGTATAGAAAGAAGAGATTACACTATTCCAAGTTACGACACAGTGACATTCAGTATCTATACGCTTGTTTTAAAAACGTTCTTTTTTCTTTTCAATGCCACACAAGCAGACTTAACTTATATAATTTATAACAAAAAGTTTATACTTTGGCAGGGTTTATAGTTTTATATCTGACCTTTAATTTGACTCAAAACATTAATAACTACATTTAATGCATCAGGCCATCAAAAACTCAATTTACAACCCCTATATATTTTGTAACTTCTGGTTCTGAGCACCCAACAAACCTTAATATTTATAGTTTAATTTGTAATGTAAACTCTACTTTTAATCTTTTGTATATCACCCATTTTGATATGTTTTTGAAATATGTTTATCTTCAATGTAAACAGTTTTCATGCTGTTATTTAACTGCATTCAGAGTATGATATATTCTATTTTCTGTGACAAGAACTGAAAACATAACTTTTTTCCATCAGTTAATGCCTGACAGATCGAAAGTTTGCTTTTTTTGAAAAATAACTATAATTAAAAGATAATTTTTCCATTCTGAAATCTACCATCAATGGAATCTTAATTTGTAAAAGACATATGGTAGAGGCATGATCTTCATGTGATTGTGTTTTGTTCTGGTTGTGTATCACATTTTATACAAATATGATATTCTTAAATATGACAGAATTTTAGATTTAATACAATAAAATTTATTAGCCAACTATTAAATAGCCAACTAAATTTTATAAATAAGGATAAAGTAAACAATGGAATATTATCTACCATTATTAATTCCTTTTTATGGACATTCCAGAGGAAAATAAATTTCATCATTCCCGCTAAAAGGCTTGAAAGTATTTATTACTTTTCAAATCTTCAAAACTTTTCCTGGTCATTCCTATGCACTTTCTTAAAAAAAAAAAAAAAGCAAAAGCAAGAAAGAGGAAATCAAACCTGTAGCTCCTCTTTAAATAATTTTTAGCAAATTTATAAATCATTGTATGACTAAATTATTTATTCTCACCATTCTGTTATGATGTTAGATGCTTTAACTTTATTCAGCTCTTCTTGGATGGCCTGTTTGGCTCTTATTTCTGCATCCAGAGCCGACTGCAACTCTAGTCTAGCTGACATGTCCAGTTTTGCAAAACGACGCATTTTCCATGGCATATCCTACAAAATAGTAGGTGTGTTTTTAGTTGCCCTATATTTTATTTTTAACATTTAAATTTAATATTCTAAGTGCATTTGCAAGCTACTTACGAGTACTATCTTCTAATAATAGAACAAAAACATTATTTGCAGAAATTTATTTTCACTAAGCTCAGAAACAACTGCAAATATTCACATTTCAATGAATGGATCTTTTTAAACAGTTCTCTCCAGCAATTGCAGAACATGATGAAATAAGCATATGTCATGTATTCCTAAATTGGAAAGGATCTGAACTGATTGATTTCTTCTTCCTCTTCCTCTTCTTCTTCTTCTTCTTCTTCTTCTTCTTCTTTTTTTTTTTTTTTTGCAGAACTGGGGATTGAACTCAGTCCCCACCGCTTGCCAGGGAAGCCCTTATTCTACTGAGCCATCTTCCCAGCCCCTGAACTGATTTCTTATACACACTTTTATAACAGTCTATAACAACTGATATAAATAATCAGATTTATTATACTGTTTTTTGAGTCTTCTTTTTCTTAATAAGTTTCCCCACAAAATGGCAGAGCTTACTGTTGCTCGTGTACCCAAACTGGAATTTCTCAATGCTTCCAATTCTTCAGTCATTTTAGAAGCTAAGGCCTGAAGATACCCTCGTGCATCCTTTTCATCACTGACCCTGGAATGCACACATAAAGACAAGGACAAAATAGAGAAACAAAATGAACAGAAATTTTTCAGTGAGAAATATAAAAACAGTCAGAAAAAGTAAGTGATAGAAATATTAAGATGTTCTTAAGTAACTTCTTTTAAAAGTTCTACTTTATTACTACTACCTGTCAACAAGTGGGAAAAGGCTTGCTGAACTGTTCAGTTATATACAAAATAAAGGTGTTGATGTTTAGAAAAGTTAGTACTTACTCCTATCTGATAATTTGGTAAATCTGTACGCTTGAGCGACACAATCAGAATGCTTTAAAGTTTAACATTTACTACACATGTGCACAAGTGAGGCTTTCTCAAGAACACTATGGTTCTCATATACTCACATCCTCCTTAAATCTGAAGTATTCTAAATTTAGAATGTTTACAATAGGATATTTTGCAAAAATTAACTGTGTTATAGTAAAGTTCTTTGGTTTCCTAAAACAATGGACATAATAAAGAGAAAAGATTAAAATTTAATGAAATCAAGTTTCTCTTTATAATTTGAAGGCTATCCTGTCTTTTCTTTCCTTTTTTCTTTTAAAGAGAATAAAAAAATAATAAAAATGATACAGGATTTCAAAACAAGATGATAAAAAATTAACAATGGTTGTCATATTACATATCCTACTGTCTTTAATACTATCTAGCTGATAACATTAAGATTTTTTAAAATTTTATGCTGAAGGGTAAAAACAAATAGAAACAAAAGACAGAAACAGGGTAACATATAACAATGGATATGTTACAGATTTTTGAAATAGGAATAGCTAATTAACAATGGTTGTTATATTTTCTATTTTTATCATCAAATCTGTTGCTCAGATTAACAGATACAGTTATATAAATTTGGAGAAATAATTGACTATTAGCATTTGCTTTCAAGAAATCTTAATTTTTTATCTTTTTAAGAAATTTTTATTCATTTTAATGAAAAAAAGATAAAATAGCAATGAAACAATTTTAAACCTGGTTAGTAGAATGTTTATAGTAATTAATACATTGCATATTGTCTTTGTAGTAGTTATTCAGAGGACAAGATGCAGACATGTATCTTGTCTAAACAGTATTAGTACAAACTTTTATTCTGAGTGAACTAAGAGAAAGTAGCTGTACATCTATCCTAACTGTCTTGTGTATACACATATATTTTTTCCTTCTCTTTTTTTTTTTTCACAACAAAACTGTCTTTTATTTACAATTCTGTGAAGTTAGTAACGCATGACACTAGACTGCCAAGCAGCTGATAGCTAACCTTAACCAGACAGGATGTTCATCTCAGGAGTGAGGTAGCTTGTTTGCTTACTGGGCCAAGTCCCACCTACATATATTTGATCAATTTCCTAGTTTCGTCGCTCCCAACATATCCCCCTTTTACGTTTTGTTTTTCCACAGATGGGTGTTCCACTGCAGTTAGAGATTTTAGATAAAAGAGTTGTCAAATGTTTTAAATGAGACAAATTCCACGTTAGAATTAGATTCTTGATAAATAAGGCTACTATAGTTCTTGAGCTCTTTTTAATGAGACATGAAAGTTGGGAAATGGTGAAAGCTGCATAATAAAAGGTAGAGAAAAGAGCTGTATAGAGGGCCAGGGAGATAGCTCAGTAGAATAAGCACTTGCCTGGCAAGCACAAGACAAGGCCCTGAGTTAAATCCCTGGTACCAGGGGGGAAAAAAAAAAGAAAAAAAAGCTGTACAGAAAAACCAGAATGTTCAATAATGAAATGTTTATTTCCCTTTATTTAAATTCACTCACATTATTTGAAATATTCCTTATTTAATTTTCTTCATTTGTATACTGATGAAAGGTGTGAAGTGTGTGTTTCGGGAAATCATATAAAAACTTTCATCTTTATTCTTCCTAATAAGCTTTTCTAGAGAATCCACATTTAAAGCTTCCTTTCTTTACCAGAATTTCTTTCAATTACAGCTGAACTGATTTTGCCAGTCACTGGAAAAGAGTTGTGTAGGATCCCAGGTTTGAACACAACCGCTTAGAGTTTAATAGATTATAAAGTCAGTTTTAGTTTCACCTTAACTATAAATTTGATTACATAATAATGAAGTTCCATGATATCTGCTAATTTCTGATATTATGAGCCTGACTAAAGATGAAAATGATTCTGCTTCAGAAACATAGACTTAATGAAATAGATACAAATTAAACATTAATGAAGTAATAATTACACTGTTGGGAACACAACCAAATTTCCACAACTTGGGGATTTCCTTTATACACTCTGAATAAATACATTGATAAACAGTCATCTAAAGAGTTCTAGAGTCAAATCAACATCAAAATATTGGAATGATTTGAGTAAAATTACTTAAAAATATGCTTGAAACAAAAATATGAGCACAAGAAACTAAAATTCCCTACAAAGAACTGATATACAGCTATATGAAGAAACTAGTTTTTTTTTTAAACATTTATTTATTTAGTGCGTGTGTGTGTGTGTGTGTGTGTGTGTGTGTGTGTGTGTGGCCAGCTCAGCCCACCAGGGGGCACAGCTGGCTGGCATGTGGTGCTGGGAGATCGAACCGTGGTCCCTGTGCTTTGCCAAGCTTGTTCCAAGTAGGTGCTTTAGACCACTGAGCCATCTCTCCAGCCCTAAAAGGCTTTTTTCTTTCTTTTTTTTTTTTTTTTGCGGAACCGGGGATTGAACTCAGACCCTTGCGCTTCCCAGGGAAGCACTTATTCTACTGAGCCATCTCCCCGGCGAGAAACTAGTTTTTGATATGAAGTAAATACCTGTATCCCAAAATGAGCAAAAATGCCAAATAAATAAAAAAATTAAGCTACCTATTTCCAACATGAAATAAGTTCTTTGTATTTTACTTTTTTCCATGTATTATAAAATATACAAACTTGTACAAGAATCATGATAATTTAATGAGAAGAAATTAATAGGAAGGTTATTAGGCTAAATAAAATTAAGTCTGGAGGTTAGGGAATAAATGATAAAAGTAAATTAAAATCACTTGTTTTTAAAAATTCCATATATGAAAACTCTGGTTTCTCTTCAGATTGTGTAAATCTTTCACCTTTTAAAAATTCCATATACGAATTCATATTCTACTGAACAAGCATAGCATCTTCTGTATCTCAATTTTTCTCACAATTTCTGTTACTTAATTGTAAATATAGTAGTTTGATCTTAGACAGGAACATTGTTAGACAATGGATAAATTTTTTCAGTTCTCTAAGGACCAACTCTGAGTAGGACAGAAAGACAGTTTCTACTCTTAGAAAAAAAATAATAAGCTGGGAGTGGTGGGCGAGTGTGTAATCCCTGCAGTCAGAGAGGCTGAGGCAGGAAGAGCACAAATTCAAGTTCAGCCGACAGAACTGGTGATGTACAGATACTCTGTCTAAAAGTCAAATAATAAATGGATAGATGGATGGATGTATGGATGGATGGATGGATGGATGGGTGGGAGGCTAGGGGTATGGTTCACTGCTCAGTAGAGGCCTTGGGTTTCCCAAGGCAGAAGAAAAGCAAGCAAGAAAGCAAGCAAGATAGTAAGAAAGAAGAGATTTCAACAAAGTTGAGTAAAAACTGGAATAGATCATTTGTTGGAATTAGGAAACAGAAATATTATAGAAAACATGGTAGAACATGTATATTTTTAACTTATTTTCCATAACAAACAAGATAAAGAATATATTAGCAGCTCTTAAAATTCACACCAACTTGGCCTTAAATCTATAACTATCCACGAAGACACACTCACCACTGAATTATTTCTGTGATTTGGGCTTCCCAATGTGCAACAGATTCCTTCTTGTCAGCTAGATCTTTTACCTCTTCTTCTAACTGCTGGTTGCGCATACTTAAGTTTTCATACAAAGTGGTAAGCTGAAAGGCATAACATTTAGGATCAGGACTTAGCAGTGTTCAGATACATAACACACAATCTTCGACTCCAATGCTTTCCTTTTATTATTATATATGTTTCTGGCCATTAACTTTGGTAATCAGAAGTCCTTTGCATTCTCCAGCTTCTTTTGCTTTTCCACACACCTTATACTGTAAAAGTTGTAACTGTGAACATTCTCCATTTGCCTGAAGAACTGTCCAATTCTGTTGGCAGCACCACCACCCACCCTACTTTTTCACAAATATCTTCATGTCATTAACTTTTTAAAATCCATTCATTGAGCATTTCAAAAACATATAAAAATCGATAGTTTTAGTCAATTCCACTACCCACGACTCAACTTCAACAAATTGCTGACCTCATTCTATTTGTATTCTGATCCTCTTGTATTATTCTAAAAAAAAAATCAGAAATCATGGTTTTATCCATACACATTTCTGTGTACAGTATATCACTAAAACGTGAGGCTCTCTATTTTTAAATATATTACTTACATATCACAAGACCATCACATAGGTATTAAGTGTTCAAATTTCCAGTTATTCAACATGCTGAAAAGCTTAATTTTATTAAGCTAAATCATGATATCAACATATAAATGCAATTAATGGTCTGGTATGTATTTTAAGTTTATTGTTTTTAGGTTTCTCTATCATACATTTATTTTTCTTCTAATTTATTAGTAAGAGTAAGTTGTCTTCTACAGCTTTCCAAATTCTGATTTTTGCCTTCATTATTGAATTACTTTTTTGCTTTACTTAACATTCCACATGGAATTTTTTTATTCAATATTTTAGAGATGCCATTCTTTTTTCTTCTGAATTCTTTTTCAACCCTCCCCCTCATTAGAGAATACACCATTTAATCTAATTTTTACTCTGAATATAATGTGTCTTTCTTATCTGGTTGCTTTTAGGATTTTATGCTGGTTGATTTTTGGCAATTCTTCCTCAGACTGTCTAAGTGATGACTGATTTCTATTTTTCTCCTTTAAGGTTCGTGTCTTTTCTTGAATTTGTGTCAAAATATTTCTTAATGAATTTGGAAAACTATAGGGCACTAACTTTTCAAACATTGCTTGTGCTTCAGTTTGTCCTTTTCTTCTGTAAAATCAAATATTCACATCCAGTTCTTTCATCATCTCCTCTACATTGCATACCCTCTTTTCTGTATTTTGTATCCTTTTGTGGACAACTGTCCATAATTTAGTCAGAATTTGTCTCTCTCATCTCATCTCAACACATCCACTCCTTTCTTTGGCACTTCTCATTCTCTCGTTAAGATTTTTACTAGATATTTATTTATAGAAATTCCATTTGATTCTATTGTATAGAGTTCAATTGGCTGCTTAAATTCATCTCTTCTATTTTCTTGAACACATAACAGGTACTTAGTAAGTTATATTGAACACGTAACAGTTATTTCATAGTCTACTTATGAAAATTCCATACTGGGAATCCTATCACTGTGTCTTTACTTACTACCTAGTTTTCTCTTTCATTTTTCAAATTACTTTCCTGTTACAATCTCCCCAACCCAATCCCTGTTTTCAATGATTTATCTGTATTTGCTAGTTTGCCTGGTATGTTTTATTGCATGTCCCATAGTTCTTGTATATCATTTTTAATTTACTTCAGGACTATATTTTCCTAGTAAATGCTCTCCATTTGCCCTCAGGTATTACTTGTCCCTTTTATCCTTATTGATATGTTTTTAGAAGTATTACCTATTTTATGATTATTCAACTCTGAAAGAGGTGAGGTTTTCGTGAAGAGCTATTCATGGACATTTTTTAGGGATGAGGCCGCATGTCATCTTGACTGAGCCACAGGGACCTCAGATATTAGGTCAAACGTTATTGTGAATAGTACGTGACAATGTCTGTGGATGAAATCAGCATTTGACTCAGTAAATCAAGAAGAATGTCCTCCCCAGTATGAGTGGGCATCATTTAAACAACAGAATAAAAAAGGGTAACTGCACTATAGTTGAGAGAACTTTTGCTGAACTGCTTTCAAGCTGACATTAGCTTTTTCTGCCCTCACACTTAAAGCAAAAACAGTAGCTCTTCTAGGGTCCTGAGTCTGTCAACTTTTGTAGTAGAATTATACCACTAGCTTTTCTGTAGTTAGCTTGGGACTTGCAGCCTTCAAAATCACATGAGACAATTTCTTATAAATCAATCAATCAATCAATCACCACACACACACACACACACACACACACACACACACACACACACACAGTGTTTTCTGGAGAATCAAAACTAGTACAGTCCTAAAATATGGTCTATAGAAAAAAATTTGCAAAGTTTTCCAGCTAAGAACCAGACAGTAAGGGCTGGCCAAATAGCTCAGTAGATTAAAGCCCTGCAAGCAGGTGCAGGACCTGGGGGTTTGATCCCCCAGTCTGCTGTGTCAGCTCCGCCCCCAGGGTGTGCTGAGATGATGACCAGACTGGGCGTGGTGGCATGTGCCTATAATCCCAGCATTAGGGAGGCTGTAAGCAGGAGAATCACTATGAGTCCGATCTACATAGTGAGACCCTGAACACCCTGCAGACCCTTCCCTAAAATATGGAAAAAAAAAAAAAAAGGAACTAGACAGTAAATATTTTCATCAATAAGGCCACATATTCTTTAAAATAATGAATCCAAAATGCCAATAAAATTTTTAGTTTGTGGATCATACAAAACCAGTCTGGGGCCAGATTTGGTCATAGTTTAAGAAATCTCCTTCTTGGGGGGCCGGGGAGATGGCTCAGTGGAATAAGCGCTTCCCTGGCAAGTGCAAGCGTCTAAGTTCAATCCCCAGTTCCACCAAAAAAGAAAAAAGAAAAAAGAAATCCCTTTCTACTTTATCAGGAATTTTCCTAATAATTCATTTTTTTCTTTTTTTTTTGGTGTTTTTAACCTGTATTTCTGTATAGAAACAGATAGGCAAAATTTCATTTCTTCTCCTCTGGCAAAGGGACAAACTGCTTTATGAATATACAGTTCGTTTATAATTATCCATTTAATCCTACCTCCAACATGTGTCTTTCTGAAGGAAACAGATCTACAGCAGCTATGATTACCAATACACACCCTGATGTGCCTATTATAAGCTAGGGTTTTAAATACTATATCTTGGGGTGTGCCTTTTGGTTCTGAAAATGTAATTTATCAGCTATTATTATTGAGGCATAATTTACCTAACACAAAATTCACCCAATATTAGGGTACATTTCAATATTTTCTCACAAATATAAACAGTTGTACAACTGCTACATTTGGAGAAATTTTGCCTATGTTTTATTTAGTTGTTCCACCCTACATGTTATTTTAAAGGTTTTTGGTTTGTTTTTCACAAAACTACCTTTATACTGAACTACATATCCAATCCTTTTTAAATTTTAATTGTTAATTTTGAGACAGTCAATAAGTTGGCCAGGGTGGTCCTGAACATGTGATCTTCTGCCACAGGGTCGCACAATACTGTTTTCAAATTCTAATGAAAGTCGATATATCATTATTTCTTCTTATACACTGCAATTTTATTTTTATTTTTTTATTGTATAATAATTTTATTTTTTCTCATTTTACTATTTTTATATTTTATACACAAATTTTTTTTCTGAGTAAAAATAGAAAATAACTGTTTCATGTAAAATTACAAGAAAACACAAAGAAATACATAATTATTACTGTGATAGTATAAGTGTCTTTATTTAAAGAGTAAAAATGTATGCAAAAATCCTCCCTTTTACAAAAGACTGAGAATTGAGAATATTTTTTCTGGCAACAAGTGAAATATTGAAGTATTAATCTTTTATACACTCTAGATCTTACACTGCAATTTTAATGGCATACTTTAATTCCAAATCACAAAGGTTTTCTCCTATGTATATCTCATGCTTCAGTTTTTGATCTGTTTGAGTTAATTTTTGCAGGGTTTTTTTGTTTTTTGGTACTGGAGATTGAATTCAGGACCTTGCATTTACCAGGCAGGTGCTTATGCTGTGAGCTATCTCCCCAGTCCTAAGCTAATTTTTGTATACAGTAAGAATATCAGTTTACATTTTTGTAGACTCATCTACTCAGATGCTCCAGTACCACGTGAACACACTCCCCATTTCCTACTGAATTAAGTGCTTAATAAGCCTCCCATGAAAGTGAGGACTCACTTTTGGATTCTGTTCTGTTCTATTATGCCGATACTACTACACTTAAGATTATTTTTCATAATTATTATACAGTATATTTTTAGTAATTATTAAATTATAGTACAAATCTCTCAACTTACAGGTATTTCTCAAAAAATTTTTGCTGTTCTAGGTCTTCCGTATTCCCACATAAACTTAAAGGTAAGTTGATCAATTATGAAAAAAAAAAAGATTCTGAAAGGGACATGTCCCTAAATTCACAGGTAAATTTGGGGAGAATTGCTATCTATTAAATTACAATACAATTTTAATCGAAACACTTTTTAAAAATGCTCTCTAAATTATATTTTTGGTATATTCAGATGAACTTTATAACCAATAATAAAATTAAACCAAAAAAAAATTAAACCAAATGTTAGGTTGATGTACATTCACTTCAATTATTTTCAATAAAATTTTTCTTAAACTATAGAAATCTTTTACTATGTAACTGCTTAGTAATTTCACAGTTTAATGATATATGTAATTGCATGTAAATACATATTTGTTCAATTTTATACAACTGTATATAAATATAATTTTCCTCCTTAAGGTAACTCTGAAGAAAATCTTTAAATTCTATCTTATAGATAGAAACGACACTAAATCATGCCATTTTATTAGTTAAGTATATCAAATAACAATTATATGATCCATTTGAATAAAATTCAGACACCGTTAATCTTATTTTAGAAGAAATAACTAAGAATTATAAAATAAAGTTCATATACTAGTAATGCCTTTAAAAAAACTATGCTCTTCCCTATTCAGTCTCTTTGTTTACAACATTAGCTTTCTAAGGCTTTTCAAAATGAACAATATTGTCTTTCAAGTAATTTTCAACAAAACAAGCAAAATCATTTTTAAATGTTAGGAGGGCTGCGGAGATAGCTCTCTAGAATAAGTGCTTCCCTGGCAAGCGCAAGGGCCTGAGTTCAATCTCCGGTTCCGCCAAAATAAATAAATAAATAAATGTTTAGAAAATAAAGGTTATTTTTAAAAGCTGTAAATGCTTAATTATTATTATTATTGTTAAATTTTCAACATGGTTTCATTATGCAGTCCCCTCTGACCATGCACAAACTATGAAGCCCAGAGTAGTTTCAAATGTGATTTTTTGCCTCAGACTCCTAAGTGTTGGGACTGTAAATGTACACCATCATTCTTGGCCACATTTTTGAATGCTAAATGCTTATGGAAAATATGCTAAAAAAAGACAGCTATGTGAAAATAATAGGAAACTGAGAAAGAATGGAAAGCCTATCTTCAGATTATTTTCATGGTCTTTCAATTTGTTATTGGATAACTAAAAACTGAATATAATATTACTTTCACTGAAGCAAAATCTAAAAATCATTACAAAATATAATGACTCATCTTGATATAAATATAAACAGAACTATTAAAACTTCAGATTAATATTAGAATTTTTTAATAACTTGTGGGAACTAGTAAAATAAATATAGAATGATAACATTTTGAGAAATCTGAGATACTACATGGAATAAAATTCATTTAAACATATGAAATTTGTTGACAAAAATATCTAAGTTTTTTTTTTTTTTTTTTGGTGGAACTAGGGATTGAACACAGGGCCTTGCACTTGCCAGGGAAGCACTTATTCTACTAAGCCACCTCCTTGGTCTCAAAATATCTAAGTTTAATACATGGTTCTGATCGTCAAACCTAGGCAGATCTGCTTTCTTTGGATTATCACCTACCTCCTTTGGTATCATTTCTAGGTATTAACAGTTTTCTACTGTAAATTTGAAAGTTGTTTTAATATTTTCAGGTTTGGCCTATGTGTCTCTGTTCTCACCAAAGACCAGTCTATGTTCAGTCTGAACTTAGTCATTCATCAACTTAGCAGCAATGTCAGTGACCAACATAAAATAAGGGAGAAAGAAAACAGGTTAAAAGTAAAATAAAGAATAAAGAAGTTTGAAAATAAATAGGACAAAGATGGTTAAGAAAGTTTCTCTCCAGAAAACTACCGTTACAGATGTGTGTAATAAAACATTTCTTATATCATACAAGCTCTCATAGCTTATATGGAAGACTTTTAAACTAAAAATGTATAAAACATATAAGATCATACGCACAATCCTGCCAGTGTTAACGATCTAGTGAGTGCTCAATGAGAGTACAAGTACAAGTGACACTAAATCACTCACCTTATCAAGTTCACTTGTCAACTTTTTATTTTCTTCAGTTAGTAACACTTTTTCTCGCTCATATTGTTGTTTGAACTCATTTTCAAATTCTTCCCTTTCACTTTGACTAACACAATTCAAAACATGAAAAGAAAAAAGGAATTTCAACTGAAATCTTAGTTTTTTGTAGGTTATATAATTAATACATAAATATCAGCTTGAATTACAGAAAAACTGCTTACATCGCACTCAACATGATTGTATGCAATGACAGGCCTGATAAAAGCACTTTTGAAGATTTTATAATACAGTAATACTGACTGGTTCTTTCATTCATTTAAGAAGTATTTATAGAGTACCTGTAATGTGTCAGGAACTGCTGTGGGCTCAACAGATAATGTCCTACTCTGTTAGGGGTTATATTCTAATAAAGTTACGCTAGGCAATGAAAAGTGTGTAAATGACCTAATTTCAGGTAAGTTCTATAAAGAAATATAACATATGGTAATGCTGTAAATGCTCTTTGGGATGGGTGGCTAATTTAGATGGTATAATTGGACAATAATAATAGGTTAATAAAATAAGCTAACAAAATGAAACCAGTAATTTCCATTGGCTTAATACTAAGTTTAATCCATTAAAAATTTTGTCTGAAACATATTAGACAGTTTTCTTTATGCATCTGTATCACAATATTCTTAGAATATAACAAGTCTTAAATCCTTAAGATTGGGCTGGCCATTTCTTATTTTTACTGATTTCATTCACAATAGTATTCCACATTTTGTTAATATTTAGAAGTTAATTTATAATTTTACATCCTCTTCACTCAGATTCCCCAACTGTAAACATTTTACTTCACTTTGCTCCATTACTGTGTACTGCTTTCATTATTCTTCAGAACTAATGAAAAGCAGCTGCAGATATTAAACTTCTTAACTCTAAATACTGCTATTTCTCAAAGTCAAGGACATTTTGACATAACCACTAAGCAATCTTCCAAATCCACAGAACCAAATCAGGTTTTCCCAACCATTTAATACTGTCTACTTTCCTACTTCTAGACTGGGTTCTGGAAGCTTGGACCCATAAGTAGCCTACAATCAGTGAGCTTGAGATTGAGTCTACTGGCTAAAGAAAAATGTTAGATACCAATTTTGTGTTAACTGCTCAGTCACCCCTGAGGCCAGTCTTAAGAACTTTCCCTTCACCAGGGCATTGTTTAATAAATGCATTAGAAAGGGGGAAGACTATCATTCTGAAAAAGCACTGTGGTAGGTGTTCTGTTTACAAGCAGGTGATACCAGAAAATGACACAATGGAAGCTCATTTATCGAAAATAACCTTATTTCAAATTGGCTATCATATTGACTTACTTTACTTAGTAGTCAAGCCTTTCCCTCTCATGTGAAAGTTCCACTCATGTGATTTTAGTCTATAGACCTGTCCACTTATTAACATCACTTATTTTTCATTTGAACATCTAAGAAAAATTCCTATGACAACAGACATCCTGACTGCGCTCACCTTAACCAATTACGCATATATTAAGAAGTACTGGGTAGTGCAGCTGAGACAAGATGGGTCAAAGTTAGAGTGGTGGCCATGGTCCTGGAAGTGGTAAGAAGGATGACAAGGAAAAGAAAAAGAAATATGAATCTCCTGTACCAACTAGAGTGGAGAAAAAGAAGAAGAAATCAAAAGGACCAGATGCTGCCAGCAAACTGCCACTCATGACACTCCACACTCAATGCCATTTAAAACAACTCAAGTTAGAATTAAAGAATATCTTCTCATGGAGGAAGAATTTATTAGAAATCAGGAACAAATGAAACCATTAGAAGAAAAGCAACATGAGGAAAGGTCAAAGGTAGATGATCTGAGGTGGACCCCAATGTCAGTAGGAACCTTTGAAGAGATCATGGATGATAATCATGCCATCGAGTCTACATCTGTGGGCTCAAAACACTATGTCCGCATCCTTTCATTTGTGGACAAGGATCTGCTGGAACCAGGCTGCTCAGCCCTATTCAACCACAAGGTGCATACCATGATTAGGGTACTAATGGATGGCACAGATCCTCTGGTCACAGTGATGAAGGTGGAAAAGGCTCTTCAAGAAACCTATGCTGACACTAGTGGGTTGGACAACCAAATTCAGGAAATTAAGGAATCTGTGGAGCTTCCTCTCACCCATCCTTAATACTATGAAGACATGGGTATAAATCCCCCTAAAGGGGTCATTCTCTATGGTCTACATTGTCAAGTAAAACCTTGTTAGCCAAAACAGTAGCAAACCAAACTTGGGCCACTTTCTTGGGAGTGGCTGGCTTTGAACTTATTCAGAAGTACCTAGGTGATGGGCCCAAACTTGTATGGAATTATTTTGAGTTGCTAAAGAATATGCACCATACGATGTGTTTATTGATGAAATTGATGCCACTGGGACCAAAAGATATGATTCAAACTCTGGAGGTTAGAGAGAAATTCAGCAAACAATGTTGGAACTTTTGAACCATTTGGATGCATTTGACTCACAAGATGTGAAAGTTATCATGGCCATAAACCAAATAGAAACTTTGGACCCAGCACTGATCAGACCAGGGCACATTGATAGGAAGATCGAGTTCTCCCTGCCTGATGAAAAGACAAAGAAGCGCATCTTTTAGATTCACACCAGCAGGATAATGCTGGCTGATGGTGTAATCCTTGACAACCTGATCATGACAAAGGATGATCTCTCTGCTGCTGATATCAAGGCAATCTGTACAGAAACTGTTCTGATGGCACTGAGATAATGTAGAAAGAAAGTAACAAATGAAGACTTCAAGAAATCTAAAGAAAATGTTCTTTATAAGAAACAGGAAGGTACTCCTGAAGGGCTGTATCTCTAGTGAACCACAGCTGTCTTTAGGCAAGTGGCTGGGATTCTGCTCAACCCCTGAGAAGGATGAGATTTGGGAAGATGCCCTGAGGGAGACAGCTGATTTTTATTAGTAACATGACATGTCTCTTCCAGTATATAGGGTGCCTACTGGATGGTCTTTGTCTGTGGTCACTATGCTGCTTGTTCTCTGCTTCCCAATAAAATGTGCTCTTTCACACACACACACACACACACACACACACACACACACACACACTGGGAAAGGAGGAACTGGCATAGGAGAAGATATCACAGTATGATTCCTTGCTCTGTGCTCACAAAACATTCACCATGAAATTCCCAAACAGTTCTCTCAATTCTCTCAGTCTTTTTCTTGATTAGACATAAATGTACACAATGGATTTAATAATATAAAACTTACAAACACAACAGCTCTGGGGCCTAAACTGATTCAAGACTATGTTGAAAAGTGACCATAGTTCTAAGGCAGGTGTGGTGTTGCACACCTGTGATTCCAACATTTGCTGAGGCAGAGGATTACTGAAGTTCAAGGCCAGCCTGAACTACACAGTGAGACCTTGTCTCAAGGAAGAAAAAAAAAGAAATGAACACATTTCTAACAGACTTTTAAAAGCCTTCTAAGCAAAAACTGGAAATCAGTTTTGAAGACTGCATTGTCATGGCAATTTAATGGGTGACTGTAGCCACAAATAAAATTCAAAGTGGATTAATCTAGGTAATTTCATATTTGTTTCCAAGAGAATAAAGAATATAAGTAATGGGTGATCTTAATTCTTTATACATCTACATTACTGAACATAAGGGCCGGTGAGATAACTCAGCAGACTAACTAACTGCTTGCTTTGGCAAACGCAGGGACCAGGGTTCAACCGCTGGTCCCCTATGCTGTGCTGGACTAGCCCCCGAGGTGCGCTGAGCCAGCGACCAAGTCCGGGCATGGAGGCGCACGCTTGTAATCCCAGTTCTGGGTAGGTTGAAAAGAGCAGGATCACTACAAGTCTGAGCTGCATAGAAAGACCCTGTACCAAATACATAAATGGAAAAAAAATAATAAAAATAAATTACTGAAAATACATTAAAATGTAAATTACAAACTAAGGACAAGAAATTACCATATCTCCAAGCAAGTATGCCACTGAAATGTTAAATTCAGTTATGTTTAAGAATTTTTTTCTAACACACAAAGAACTTCAAAACAAAGTTTTTCAGAAAAAATATGTACATAAATAAAACTCAGTATAATTTTTGTGTAAAATCACTCCTGGTTTCTCCTAATAGCATTAAATAAGTTTCAGTCTGTCTCATATTAAAAGAAAACAAAACTCTCCCTTATACCATAACATGCTTCAGCTTCCACTTGTCTTACCTTCTTGCTCACTAGTAAATATCCTGAAACACTTTGCTACACTCATTTTTATAACATAACTGCTTCCCACAACATCAGTATCTGTCTTCTGCCTCCACCCTTCACCAAACCAGCTCTTAATGAAACTCAACACTGACTTTGTCACACCCAATCCATCCTAGGAAGTGTGGGGCATCCTCCCTGTCCCAGACTGCTGTTTTTCCCAGCTTTCGTGATATCACACGCTCCAGACTGCAGACACAGTTTGTGCTTTCTAAGCTGTCACTATGAACTCTCCTTCCATTCTTCCTGTAGGTACAGTGCTACTTGGAACTCTGCCCAGGTGCTGTCTCTTCTCTTCTCTTCCACAGTGGCGCACCAACTGGAGCAGCTGGCTTTACTCAGGATCTACAATAACGTCTGACCTCTAATCTGCTTATGACACATTCCAAGGCTTCAAACCACTGATCAAGCACCTCACACTCAACATGTCACACTCAACATGAAAGCACACATGTAAATAAGATCCTAACCTCCTATTTACCTCTATCTCTGCCCATATTCTCCAATTCCTCTTCTATTACTATAGGTAAAAACAAAAAAAACCCTTAAAATTTAATTCTTTCCTTTTATACCTCAAAACCATTTCCCACTTAATTTTCATACTTAACAATTATCATTATGTATTATGTTCTTTTTTTCCCATAATTTTATTGATAAACAAATAGCAATGAGACAGTTTCAAATTAAATTGGTAGGACAGTTTCAATAATTCACACATTGCA